TTGTTGGGATTCGAATTCCGAAGGATCCCAGCCGGTCTCCGGCGCGAACGCAAAAAAAAAGGGGGGGGAGGGAAGGGTTGGCTGAAAGTTTGGGAAACTGGCAAACTTCTTCCCGGGCTTGTTTTCTGGAGAGGCTGCCTGGAGGGATCGGGGAGGGAGGGAGGGAGGGGATCTCTCGGCAAGCCCCTCTGCGAGCTTCGCTTGACTCAGCTGGGAAGGCGACCCGGAAGAGTGGGAGGGAGGAGGTTCCCCCTCCGCCGGGTTCTCATCCCGATTCGCTCCTTTGCCGGGCGCATCCCCTGGAAAGCCGGGGTGGCTCTCTCCTCTGCCGGGGCCTGGGGACTCTCTCTCTCTCTCTCTCTCTCTCTCTCTCTCTCTCTCTCTCTCTCTCTGCGCGCTTAATTAATCCCCTTCATGCCGTGGATGCGCTGGTTAGAGCCGGCCGGCGCTGTGGCAACCTCGACCGTCCAATGCACTTTCTAGAGGGGAGGGAAAGTGTGTGTGTGGGGGGGGACAGGACCCTGGGCTGGTCCCTTTTAAAAAACACCCCAATAACCGAATCCCGCCGCCCTCCTCCTCCTGAGCGCTCTGCGGGGGTGTCTGAGATGGCAGAGAACTGCCCGCCAAGCGCATGTCCGGGAGCGGCACTAAGCCAGTCTACTCAGAAGTAGGACTCCTTTTATTCCGCGGGGGCTGACCCTCAGGGAAATGTTCTGCGGACCGCAGCCTGCGTCCACGTTGCTTCGTGGGGACGTCCAAGGGGCGGGAGTCAAACTCAATGTCCACCCCCACCCCCTTTTTGTTATGCAGTCCACAAAACCCGGGCGGCGCGGAAGTGTCCTTTGGAAGGGGAAAGTCAGGAGAAGTTTCTCCCTCCCCGGCCCATCCATCCCGGGAGGAGAAGGTGCTGCCAACTCCCGGACTCTTCGTGCCCCCTGCTCCGCCCGGATTTGGCCCGCTGCCGGCAGGCTGGACTCGGGAGGCTGCCCCTCCTCAGCACGCGGCCGAGAGTCACCCCGTCCCCCCCTCTCCTCTGTTCTTGTCTGTGTTTCAGAGACCAGCCCGGGCAGTCTGGAGCCCGCCCTGCTCTGCTAAAGTCTCGGCCACCGGTCCGTCCGCCGAATCCCGACGCTGTCCGCCTTTAGCCCCCCCGAAAACGCCTCTCACGCGGCTGAAGGTGGGTGAGCAGAGCGCGGGCCGCCTTCCCTGCTCCACCGACGGCAGGTGACAGCGAGACCGGGAGGGAGAGGTCCCTGGCTGGGTCGTTGACGCGGGGAGAGGAGCCTGCGGAGACGCTTTTGCGGGGCTCGTGCAAAAGTTTGGGGAGGGGAAGGGGGCGGGGGCGGGG